AACACAACAGGGCTCTGATCCCAGAATGCTTTGGGACTCTGGGAGCAGACTGATAAACCTGGAAGAGGGCGACACAGAGACAAGAAGTGACAGACATCTTCTCCCTGAGGCACTGGGCTGTCCTCAACTCAGGCAACACATTCATAGCCTTTCAATGCAAATACAATGGAGAGGAAAAAGCTATTAAAAAGACAGATATATTCAAATGTATTATGGGTTTTTGCATCAGGTAAATTAAATATTGCACAAATGAAAGGGGATTTCAGGCTGTATTTTTGCATGGTCATTACAACAACATAACAATCACCATATTTTATTTGTTACTTTTTGTTTTTGTTGTTGTTGGAGTCTTTCCCAGTATCTATGGGCAGGAGGTGGGGAAACATCTAAAGAAGTGCAAAGTGACAGACAAGGGATCCAAGATTGGATCCACAAAAATGAGACAAGATTATTATTTTTTACATTATTTATAATAAATAACATATATAATAATAATATTTGTGCTGTTACTGTAGCAACTGTTTTTAAAACAACAGTTTCTTATCTCAAGAATCTGTTAAATCCAAATGTAAACACAGAAAAAAAAAACTCACAAGATCATTTTCATTGTGTGCACAATCTTGTGGCAATTTTGTCTTGAGAGATCTTGTGGCATAAGGTCTTGTACCAGTCCCAAGTACTTTATATTTGTCAAATCTTTTTGCAAAGTAGGTTGATAGGGTCAGTCTTGTAGGTGTAGCTCTGCCAATTTTCAGTCTGACAGAATCTCTTTAGCCAAAGTCACTTGCACTCACACTGGGACCATTCATCTCTCTTTTAGATTAGATGCCAAATTTGACAACGGTCATTACCTCCTGTGTGTATAAAATGTTCCCAAGGTGAACTAATGGGTCCCACCCATTTCACACTCTCATAGGCCGTAGTAGTGTGCATGGCAACTGTCTTACTTTAATGTGATTAACAACTGTCCTTCAAAACTCTGTCTTATTTCATTATTAATATGTAATGTAAAATACACAATAAGGTCAGCAATGAAGCATGAGAGTGCAAGAATACTGTAGTAGTGTGAAGGTGATATTTGGGGGGGTGGCAAAAATGTAAAAATGTATGAATGAGTGAATGGGAGGCACATCCTACATTGGTAGATGCTTTAGATATAAACACAGAGAGGTCAGATGATTCTTTGGAAGAGGGATACTGCAAGGATGGTTTTTAAAATCTGCTCTTTTTGCAGCTTTATAATATACCCAATATTCTAATTTTAAGTATCTCTAAACAACAATCAATACATTACCTTAGATTTTTAATACATCTCCCACCTCTAACATGATGGTTAGTCTAAAAGGGGGGTGGTTTAAAGTCACCAAAAGCTGCCATGCTTACCATGAGATGTGCATCAGACCCACTAATACCTCAGACCTGACAGATATCATGTGGCCATGATCAACAGAGAATATTCTGTGTTTACACTGTAAAGACAAGTACTGAACTCCCTAAAAGCACTGAGCATTTAATCCTAATCCAGATGTTAAGACTTTAGGAGGCAGCAATGGGTCCAGACCAGACTGACTGATGGTGCATCAGTCAGTCTGGTGAGTTTCAAAGGGCTGCAAAGACAATATTCCCCCATTGTGTCATTATTCACTAGACTGAAATGAGGGTGCATTGCTCCCTTTTGCAGCAGTTTGTTTTGTTTTGTTTGTTTGTTTGTTTGTTTCGTTTTTGGGTTTTTTTTCAACACTTATGACACATTCTTCAAAATGTAAGTATGTCTGTGCTCTAATGGAGAACTTGCTACAGTGAAATCAGACTAAACTAAAGGTAAGAAAGCTGTAGAGCTACTGACAAAATCAAGACTCGTATCAATTTATACAGTAGCAAATACTCACAAAGGACAACATGAGGACACAGCCAAATCTAATCTATTTTAAAACATCTTATGCGTTCTCGGCCCTAAATGACCTGGATTGACGTGAACACACATTAAAGAACACATGCACTGTCAAGGCTTTAATATCTTAAAGCCGTTGAGTCTCAACGTCAGATAAAAAGCACAGATGTTGTAGATGCTGATGATGCTGATGGCAAGAGACTTAACAGTATTCACATCATCCACGTCCCGTTAAGCATATGTGAACACACTTCGATACACCCGCATTTTTAAAGAAGACAATTAATTAACAAGGTTAAGTTAAATAGCCAATGTAGCCAAAGTATAGTACAATAAATAAAATAAATAAAATAAAAGACTGAAGACAAAGTTGACTTTTAAACCTACCTTTGATTAAAAACGTTGTCCAGATATAAACTCCAAGCGCAGATTGTGCCAGAAACTTGTGGCACCGCATCCTTGTGCTCGTTATGCCCCGGTTGGATGCTCCTAGTTCAGTTTTCTCAGGAAATCTTTCCTGATCTTGCCTTAAGAACGAGCATCAGCCTGTAATGAGGCGGGAAGAAGGGCAACGGCATCAGCGGAGAGATAATCTACAACAGACGCACCAAGTCAGTGAGGCGGGAGCGCGCGCTCACGTTGTTTTGCCGAATCACATTCCCTTACTGACGCGCGCACGCGGAGGAGTTTGAACAAATCCTACCTGGTCAAAAGTTGATCTTACCTTGTCTTTCAAAAGAGAAATTTTGCCATATCATCACTTTTCTCTTGTAGACCTAAGGGGATACGTCTGACACTAATGAAAGAATTATCTGCAGGCTATGCATTATTTATGGGTTGCGTTTTGGGGTGTAAGCAGCCAGTCAGTAATGTGATGTCACAGCATCAGACAGTGCAAATTTTATTAAAAAGAGCAGCCATGCGTAATTTTACTACCTTATCATTGCATAAAAATTATTTTCTCATGGTGTTAATGGAGATTAAACGGTAATCGCCTACTCTTATGTAGCCTGTTACTTTTTGTTTGTCAAAAAGGATGTATATGAAGTATGGGGAGACCAGTGTATCATTTTCACCAGATGATAACAGCGCTTTCAGCTGTCCAGTCTCTATTTCTCTTATTGGATGAATTGGTATGGACTTTAATTTAAAACAAGATCTGATATATGACTTAATAATTTAGTGGGCTCTGGACTGTCAGCCTTTGGACAAGCTGAGACAACATTTAAGTTTTCAGTAAAGATTATTTTGGGAGTTGCCACATGAGTGCAAAAAAAATAATGAGTATCATAAAATAATCTAATAATGAGATCTACATTGTCTTAAGTGTGGTTTGTCTTCAGAGTATAATGCAGAGTACAAAAAAACTTAAGATTCCATAGATGTGTTCACTATTGGTTTTAGAATATGTGGTCTGTCCTGCCAGTGCATTTTTCTTTAATTTACAAAGCAGTCATCACTGTTTCATTCTCTTTTCAAATAAAATCTCTCACCACTGAAATAAAACTGAATAACGGAAAATGTAATATTTAAATACACTTAGAAATTTTATCTCATCATCTCGTCATTGATGCACTTCTTCAAAAATAAGAGTGGAGGTCTCATGGTGTGTGAGTGTGTCTGATAGAATGAGGTCAGATGAGTTTAGATTTTGCTTGAGTGTCTACCTTTGATCTGCAGATTCACAGTCATGCAGTAGGCAGCATGTCTGTTTATGTTTTTTTTTTTTTTTTTGCAGAGGCATTCTATAAAGAAATATTGGTTTGTTCATTTTAATTACTTCTTACATGTAGAGATTAGATTTTGTGTACAGCTCCTATTCACAAATAGTGGATGTTTTATCTTTCAAAAAGATAACACATCCCATTTTGTCTTGTTTTTTATTATTTAGTTTTTTAAATATTTTAGTTAATCTAAAGGAAAGCTCTGGTATTATTCTGTGCAGAAGGTCACTTGGCTCTGTTACTCTACAGATGACAATTGTGTTTATTAAGGTATGCCACCCAAAGGTCATGTAGAAGGGAAAAAGTCAGTGATACAGTTAAGAAGATAAATAAAAATGTACAACTAATTATTTTAGTTTATTTACTGCTATTTTTGTCTTCTTATTCCAACACTGCAATTTCCCCACTGTGAGATAAATAAAGGTGTTACAGTTTGTTTTAACTAGGCTACTTAAATATGGCTATTTCATCTTTTTCTCTAAATATTACATTATAAAAACTAGTTTGAATTCGGCATTTCTGTTCTTACTTGAAAGGACGGGATAGAACACAGCACCTTAACAAGCTATTGCCCAAATTGATACTCTGGGGACCTGCTTTGATTTCTGGGGATAAAGTAAGTCTTCAAACATCGGCACATTAATGAGTGTGTATAGGCCCATAAGATAAGAGAAGGATAAGTCATAGCACATATGCATTTTATCAATAAAGATAACAAAGAATCCATAATGTTTAATATATTTACGCTGTGCTTCTAACATGCAATGTTATTAGGTAGAGCGCCACCTGCTGGAATAGTATGAAGTAAATGGATTATTTGGTTGTGTGGGATTGGGTTTTATAGGTGATTGGGTGGAAGAAATTGCTTTTAATGACTGTAAAGCACTTTGTGCTATTTTTTTATTTTTATTTTTTTGTATGAAAAGCACTTTATAAATAAAGTTAGATTGATTGATAGATGAATAATAATAATAGTTTATATTTGTGTAAGAGAGCAGAAAGTATTTAGACTGCAGATATGATCACACAATGCAGTCTTTATGCCAACCTGGTATTCCATACAGTCTCGCTCCAGAGGGCTGGATGTTTGCTGAAGTAGTTTTTGGATGATTCCTCTGAGCAGTCCGGACTCACCGTGAGTGACCACAACATGCCTCACTCCGTTTGAAAGAGAGACCTGTTCAGTTCACACTGAGCAGTGAGTTCATGCTGCAGAAAACACTCATCCATCCCTCATGCCACTGTGCATACAGCAGGTAAACCTTAAAGCTTCTCACTTCAAAATGCTGTACATTTTACTCAGTTATTAATATTGTTTAAAGCTAGAAATGAATGCAGTTTTTTATGTCAAATGTTATTGGTATGGTGTATTTTTTTTTCTAGCCATGGATTTGAAAATGTTGATCCTTTTGGCTTTTTTGGGGGGTATGTTTACAATTGAGCTTTAATTCGAACAATTCTTTTTACCTTTATCTATAAAAAGGTGTAACTTTTTTCTGTTCTAGGAGTTTTGTCAGCACCATTTGTCAAGGAAAATGAAGCCAAGAAATTTATGCGTCAGAGGAGACAGACAGACTACTGGGATCCAAATAATTCTCAAAACGTATGGGGATACACCATTCAGGAGCAGGTGTGTGAAACACTAACATAGAGTTTTCTTTAGTTAGAGGTAAAGAAAGTGTGTGTCTACTTACAGGCCAATGAGTACTGGACATCACTTCGCACTAACGCACAATACTACATGGACATGGGAAATGTGATGTTCGCCCGTTCTGTGGCTGAGTAAGGAGACATGTAAACATGACTACTGATTATTTATTCAAGTCACCTTGATCATTATCTGTTGGTTTATGTTTAGTGAAAACAACCGGTTGTACATGGAAATGCTGCGTAATGCCAGAGCTCACTTGGACAGTCACATGGGGAGACAGGGATAAGAGCCACAGCCTGACCCACGGAGGAGCCGCGACATCACTGCTCTCACAGTGCTGTGCTTCCACAACTGTTTACTGCTCTATATCTCTCAAACCATAGAATTTAAATTTTGTATGAGGACCAAATACTCCTGTCTAAATATTATTTTAAACGTTAAGACTTAGTCAGCCAGTTTTATATTGCTTTAAACTAGTTACCAAAACGTCTTCTGTAAACAGTATTTTATATATAATGAATAAATGTATCTTTTAGCAATAGCTTCCTTTATTAATTGAGAATGTGATTATGTAAATCCATTTACAGTAAGACTGCAACACACTAGACGCACCACTAGATGGTAGTGTCTATTCATTTACACTTGTTTCACCATTGAGCAAAATTGTGATAACTAAAACTGCCCACCAAATAAACAAAGGAACTTTAATAATAACCATTGCATTTTACAGGGTCAATGTTGAGAGAAAAAAAATAGAAATTGTCTTATTTTTAAATTTTTACTAAAGACTAAATGTATCCTGAGCAATTACTACAATAGTGATTTTCACAGAACAGACAGTCTTGTATCTTGTATTATACATTACAGCAAATGGCTGTAGTTCTTCTGTGCCAGTCTCTTGTTTGGTGCAGACATACACCTGTATGTTCTTTGTGAAAGTGGCAGTAGTTAGTGTGGGGGGGTGGAGGATGACTCTTCACTGGCAGCTTGAGGAGGGACTTTCATGAACATCTGCAGAGCTGGAGTGAAGATGAAGATTGTGCCCAGAACTGCTACAGAGAGAAAAGCCCACAGAAAAATGCGGTCTAAAACCTGGGCCACAAACTTCCAGTCTTGCACCACCTGGAATCAGAGGGAAATGTCTATTTAAAGGTACAGTATTCAAATTTTTGAGGTGACACATCACCTGCATGATTCCATGGAAAATAAAAGTTAAAACTAAATTTCAGAACATTTTCCATGGAGATAGATGTTTTAATGCCATACTGTGCAATATTATAGCCAAAGGAACAACATTTCCATGGACAAAAGCAGAGAGAGGCCCTTCTTCAGGCCAAGTAGTCTGTAGAGATGAATGCCTGCTCGCAGTAAAGATGTGTATTTTTATAAATTTTTCAATGCAAAAAATAAATAAATTAATTAATTAAATAAATAAATACAGAAATCTATTAAATTTTTGCTATTTCTTGGCTTTATGGCAGACCACAACAAATGAGCAGCATGTAATAAATTTACAATATGTTTTTGACCAAATTTGTTCCAAGGAAAATGGCTTCTATAAGCTGCTTTTAAAAGTAGAACTATTAAAACAAAGTTTTACCTCTCGAATGAAGTGCTCCTTGCGGATGTGTCTGCTAATGTAACGCACTGAGTAAATTGCTTTCTCCAACATGGTGGACCAGGGCTCTTCCTCCTTCCCATCTGAAGCATCTGCCCTTTGACCTCCTGCCCTCCTGCCAGAGCGAGGCTTCAGCTCTGGGCTCTCAGGGGCCAGCTCAGGGTAATGGTAACGGTCAGTGTGGCCACGCATACAAAGCATCCTGGGAAGTTTTTGGAGGAAAAGAGTACGAACCCAAGGTGACATGGGGTGGTATGTGGCAGAGGAGCGATGATGAACATTTATGACAAAAACTGTGACAATGATGGAAAGAGTGACAAAGATCATAATGAAAAGAAGGTATTCTCCAATCAGAGGAATGACTTTGGAGGAAGATGGGATGATTTCTTCAATGACAAGAAGAAACACAGTGAGAGACACAAGCACAGACGTGGAGAGAGACAGTTTCTCTCCTTCATCTGATGGAAGATAAAATACCAGAACTGTGAGAAAGGACAGGCCCAAACATGGGATGATCAGAAACAGTGTATAGAAGAGTGGCAGCCTCTTCAGAATAAAAGAATATGTTATAAATGGGTATGAATATAAGCCATCCTTTCTATTGCCTTTAGCCCCAGTGGCACTAAGTATCTCCCATTCCCCATTGTCAAAGAAGTCTTTTCGATCCACCTGGTGGTCCATCAGAACCAGGTCCACCATGTGCCCATCATAGGTCCAAGAGCCAAACTTCATGGTGCAGTTCTGTCGGTCAAAGGGGAAGAACGTAACGTCCATTGTGCAGGCGGATTTGTAGCTCGCAGGAGGAGTCCAGGTTATGGCACCATTGTACTTAACAATAGCTTTAGTCATGAGTGAGCCCTCAAAACGCCCATCAGCACTGAGACAAATAGAAACAAACATTTGTCAAAAGTTATATAGGCAGACATTATGCTTACTATACCACTGCAATAAAACACAATATTTCATCAGACAGTACTTACTTTTCATAGAGAACGATGTCAGGCAGCCATATGTTTTCAGAAGGGACTCTGATGGAGGTGATTCCCCCATAATTTTCTGGGTTCCATCTGAGCTTGTAGTCATACCATTCCTGAACAAAAATAAGTATTACACAATGCATTATGCATGTTTTTTTAAAATAGATAACATATTTTATAGATAATATATATTTTATAGAAAATATACATTATAAGTAGACCACAGGCCTGAACTGATATGGTTGCTGGTACATCTACTGTCACAAGGCTGTGGTACTTTCTCAGGTCTTACCTGGCAGAGCCAAACATTTGTTGTCATGAGCTGGTTCTTTTCATCCTGAAAAAAATCAGCACAGGGTAAATATTTGAAACTGAAATTAAAAAATGCTAATTTATATCTGACAAAATACATCATACAGAACAATGTTTTTCACCACAATCACCAATATTGAAAAAAACAGTCCTGTGTATTCTGATAAGATCTTTCCTATCCCCCTCATGTACATAATCTCATTACAGCCATGAAGCTAAATGATGAACAGACACCAATTAGTGTCCTAATAATAGAAAACAGTATGTCGGGGATATGTAGAACAACATGCAATGTGCATGGGTTGGTTAATAGATGACATACAACATAAGCCTTGTATGGAACACATGAATGTTGCATTTAATATATAGTTATTTTTAGATATCTTCATCTATCTAAAACAGAAAACCATAAGCCTGTGCAGTGGACCAAACTGGACCAATATAAATGCAGACATACAAAGACATTTAAAGCAAAAAGAACAGAACAGTTATAAACACCTATGTTTTCTTTCCACATGCCTGGAGCCTAACTTAAGATTCACAGACACAAGTTGGAACAAAACACAGAAAAGAGAAACTGGGGCAAAGTGACAGTGGTCCCAGATACTGGTTGAGAGCAGGCTGACAAAGAGAGCTTAAGCTGCTCTGTGCACCCAGCCTGTGCCTCAGCTGTCAGACTGATCCGGATGTTTTGACCATCATAAAGACCAGAGGTGTACCATAATCTAATATTGGACCATGCAGCGCACCAGGAATACTCAAGGGACAGACAGATATCAGTTGCTCTGTAGCCTCTTTTTCCTTTCCGAGAATCCACTCAAGCCTTAAAAAAGCCTTACAGTCTTTTGTGTGCTGGACAGAAGTGCTTGTGTGAGCTGACAGAATAAAGACTTAACTGAGAATAAATATTTCAAAACAAAAAAGTGACTTCTTCCATTAGCATTCTCCATTTTTCACCCTCAACAACCCAAGCCATATGACCCTATCAAAAGGACTGTTGTAATATTAAAGAGACACTACTCTGAGGAGAGACTGTGGAAGGCTGCAAAGAAGCTATTTCAGGACCATGGAAAGCTCCTCATGGTGACCCGCCCGTGCACTGATGAGCTTTGTATCGCGGCTATAGTGCATATTAACACTTAACATATGGTTGGGCAAACACAATGACACAAATAGGGTGAGTGTGGATGTACATGTGTGAGAGTGAACATTACCACATCCACAAGCTGGGAGATTTTGAGACCAAATCGCACTTTGACCGTGTCATTGGCTCGTTGAATGGGTCGCACCCACCGCTGATATCCCTGGAACAGATTCTTCAACAGAGCGTCCTCCATTTCAGCCAAAGACACAAACTCATTCTTTGCTGTAAAATATCAAATAGAATGTTATCTATATTATTTATCTTGTTAATTAAAGTAGTACTTAAAAAGCAGGCCACATTATCTTTACTGGACATAAACAACTATGTATACAAACACATGCTTTTTACAAGTGTCACATGCACTGCCAATGTACCACCATTTGAAGGTCACTAAGAGAACATTACTGTTAAAAAAATGCAAACAAATGTAAACAATGAAATAAGATCAGATAGACAACACTTGAATTAGTCTACAGCAATGATAGTTGCAATTCCATAAATAACTTATTAATGACAATATCTTAAAAAACTAAGACTGTAAAAAATATGTAGGAGTTGTGTAGGCCGATTAAAATGTATTTCACAGTGGTTCAGACTCTGTAGAGAGACAGCTGGGAGAGCTCAACTTGACATCATGTCTATAATACTGATGTCAACCTAGCAGACAGACTTTGATGGAAGTCGAGGGGGCTTGCATAAAGAGAGGAACATAACAAAACACTGATGAGCTGCTCTGAGATACAGAGAGGCAGTCCGTATAACATTAGTTTGTAGTATTAGCTGTATGTAACTTAGTGACAATAGCAATTTGATAACTTTCCAGTAAAGCCTACAATAGACACTGGCTATTTAAAGCCGAAACTGAGAGTGACAGTCCTTGCCCTTTCAATTGGCAATTCAATTGTCAGAAGAAACAAGTTCCCTTACCTTGAATCGCAGCACGGCACATGCAGCAGGACAGAGACAACAGAAAGACGTAGCCGAACTTCATGGTGCCCTGGTCTGGAGCGCTAGGCGCTGTGTGTTAATGACAGTTCAACAGAGTGAGCACAGCGAGTGACAGTGTCCAGGGCAGGCGGGAAACCGAGCCTCTAACGCGGCTGATGAAGGCGCAGGGGCGGGATGTGGGGAGCATGTGGCCGGTTCCCGCTCCTCGGCTCAGTGCGGGGCGTCACGGGGAGAGGTGGCCTCAGTGGGAGGAGGGAAAGCCCGGGCGGGGCCAGAAGCGTGGACATCGAAAGGTTGAAACAGACATGAGAACAAACACTATTCTGTGGAAAGTGCTACTTACTTCTTATGCTTTTATTTATTTATTTATTTATTTTATTCTATTTATTTTTTTAACCGTTCCAGTTAAAGGTGTTTGGTGTCTTTCTAAAGGTGAAAAGTTCAGAGATAAAAGCTTTAGGGTTCACATTACATTGCTAAGTACTTTGTTACATTTAAGGTCAAAGAAACAAATGCTATGAGATCATTTGTAATTGTAAACTCGCCATCAGGCGGCACTGAGGCTTGCTTTGCAGTCGATAGAGGGGGATAATGACAATGTGCTATTTTTATTTATTTCTGTATTTATTCATTTATTTATTTTTAATGCAATGTTAATGGTACTTTTAGCACCTACCACAGAAAGATATATAATCTTTTAGGACCTAAATGTTTTGGACTTCTTAACATGCAAAAAATGTTTTAAAACATGAAATCATTGTTTGCCTTTTATTTAATTTTCTTCTTTGTATTGTACCTTAGAAACAAAACTCCCAATGTTTGAATTTGTTGTTGATTACCAGATGTGTTAATTCTTAATTTATTTAGGCCTATTTATTCCATCCACAATCCACAATCATCCACCAGGTTGCACCCATTAGGCTGAAGATGAAGTGCACATATATAAAACACTCCAAGGAAGACAACTTTCAGAAATGGCAGTGTCCTCAGATGTGATGAAAAAACAGGAAGCCCTAATGTAAATTAACTGAAAGAGGGACAAAGTAGGAGGCGAACTTTAACGGTTATGGACAGTTTGTGAATCAGCTGAGGCAGCGACACATTTGAGGAGGGCATGTGTGCTGAGAAATTCTTATGCAAATACCAGCTGTCAAAAAAGAAATGAAGAACTTCCCTTAAGATAAAAATCATTAAAACATACATACAGTATATAGAAAAGAAGGTGAGAAAGGCTTGTATTCAGGTGTGTATAGGCCAGTTCAGTAGTTTTCCAATAAAAAGCACACAAACATTAATTTGCATGCTGCACAGTAAGCGCTATTAAGTGGATTCTCAGTACCATGGTGATCTCCATTTGTTACATAGCTTTTTATTGTGTCTCAACTGCTTGGAGGTGTACTTTTTGATATGGAGTTATTGCTGGGACTATTTCTAGTAACAAATGAATTTTTTGATAGTGAGTTTTGAGGACCTTACATAAAATAGTCCACTTTCTTCAACAACAACAAAAAGCCTAACACATGAGGAGAAAAATATTTTTGTTTAACTAGGACTTTTACTGTAAAACCTTTTTGAAATGTATGGGAGAATGGTCATGTGATTTCCATACGCTAAGCAGGCATGAAGCACACTTCCTCCTTTATTCTTGCTCCTTTGTTTCTTCCTCCTCTCCACATGAAGTGATGTGGATGACGGTAGCCTGATTATCTCAATGAATTATCCTGATTTTCTGCTCCACTTGGATGTGTGGGGCGGGCAGCTGCTGTCTCTGAGAGGGACCCGTCCTCTCCTCCTCTAATCATTTGGAAACACAAATTCTCTCAGGCTGGAAACCTGCCTCTCCACTCCCAGATGACTGTGGACAGCTGCAGTTTGTGGATGTGTAGGAGGCTATATTTACATGTGTCTTAATATTTTGTTTCAGCTTGTGTTGTTTTAAATCAGCTTTACATTTTATATGATTTGACTGACCCACCACAGTAGCCATGTAAATATTATTCTTCCTTATTCTTTTTCTTTCATCTTTTCATCTTTCCTCTGGATATGGTGTTGCCTGCTTGTCTCCATGAAGAAAGAAAGGTTTAAGGTCATATTGGGGAACATTTCAGGCAACACAGTAATATCTCCACAAAGGTGGAGGACATTCCCCCAGAAGAGTGGCTGTAACTATAAGAAATCATTTTTGAAACATTTTGCTTTTACACACCAATTAATGTTGTGTTTTCACTACATAGTTTAAGGGACATTTTTATAATTATAAGTTGCAACAGACTGTTGCAGATAAAGAAAAGTAATTGAGGAAATTTGGACATTAGCCAAAGTACTTTCAAAGTCTGAAATTTCTCACTTAGCACACAAAGAGCCACAAAATATTTATAAAGCTGTAACATGATATTTTTATCAGTGTTAAGCTGGCTAATGATTTGCCTGTTATCACTGAGATGCCTGACACTGAGGTGATGAGTAAAGGCCTCATTGTTTGAAACTGAAGCCAAACGGACTAAGTTACACCACTGTCTGCTGCTCAAGCCCTGGAATCCATGTATCATTCGTCCAATAGTTTTGCAATATAAAACCAAAAATAATTAAATGAAAAACCAATAGTTTTTTTCATTATTTGTCTCCAAAACGAAAATGAAAAAAAAAATTGTTTTTTTAGTTTTAAATTTTGTGTTTAAATGAATGATGGAAAAAAACGTTTCTGTGACTTATGCCAGACTTTTTCGCAGCACACAGAACCAGGACTAAACCAGGACTTAACCAGGACTAAATCATTTTCAGTCCTGGTCTGGTCCCAGTCACAGTCCTGGTCTCAGTCCTGGTCTCAGTCCTAGTCTAGTCCCGGTCTGGTCCTGGTCTCTTCCCGGTCTCAGTCCGGGTCGAGTTCCGGTCTGGTCCCGGTCTTAATCCTGGTCTGGTTCAGGTCTGATCCTGGACTCAATCCCAGTCTGATCCCGGTCTGGTCCCTGTCTCAGTCCCGGTCTCAGTCCCAGTTTCAGTCCCAGTCTGGTCCCAGTTTGGTCCCAGTCTAAGTCCTGGTCTGGTCAGGTCTATGTTTTGCTGACCTGCTCTCACAGCAAAACATAACACAACTCTCCAAATTAGTTGTACAAAATAATGTATTACAAGATATAAAAGTTAGATATAAAATTTGTTTTTTATATAAGATTTAAGATTTATGCTTTTATATAAGATATAAAAGGAGTTAGGGTTAGGGTAGACATATTTAATAATTTGTAAATTTTACATTATTTTATAACATTTATCACATCGGACACTCAAATAGGTTCTCTCACAACTCTGTTATTGCATCCACAAATAAATACTATATAATACATGGCACCAACACATCTATCCCCATCCCTTCTGTAGGTGTGTCATGTCACTCTTTAAAACCTCAAGTTAATATACTCACTTATATGCATTTCATAGTACGTTCATACCAAGGTTTTGGAAAATAAAAATTAATTGTCTTATTTAAATTCATATTAATATTCATGTTGTTTACTCTTCTGTCTTCAGGGTGTGTCTAGGGTATATTATCCTTCTCTTCACTTTTTAAAAGATCCCAAAAGTTGCTCAGTAAACATGCAATTTCCTAACACATAAATAGTGTTGGGACATTTTTTATGTATTTCACTAACTGAATAGTAAAAAACAGAAAACATATCTTGAGGTTATTTGTTGTAATATTATCAAAGGTTTTGTTGGTGTGATAATGTGTCAAAAATAAGAAGGTTAAAACTTTGGGCAATTTAAGACTTATTTTTCTATGATGACTGATTTGTCGCTGTCCATGGTGCTGAAATTCTATCTCTAACTCTAGCAGTCTTAAAGGTATACTATGCGCTGATCCATGGAATTAGCATTGCTTTGCCAGGAAAATTACACAGTATGGGATTAAAGTTCTGTAACTTGGCCAGGTGGCACCACCTACTTGTGTCCATGGAGAAAGTTAAGTTTAATTAAGGCCATACTGTGGTACATTCCTGGCAAATCAATCACATACTCTATTGAAACATGGTTAAAATTGTTTCAGGAAATAAGTGGCCTATTATTATTTCTAATTCACCATATTAAACTATATGCCTTTAAACTCAATTGTTTTAATACCAAGGCTCCTCCTGATACAATTCTCTCCATTTAATTTAGTGCATGCACAACATGGTAAACTTCTGACTTGTGACACACTGTGGCTGGATATGCCCTGTATTATGCATATAGAATTCTTCCTGGGTCTGTTCTCGACACAAATCTGCAACTGCTGTCACTCACTGCTCCTGAGAGTTTGCCCTAGCAGGTTAATGGTGAGTTAAATGCAAATTACAAATGTTCTTACAGAGACAGTAATGTGTAGCCTAACCATAACCACATAAAACTTCAAGTGAGCATCTAAGTTCCTTCTTTTCTTTCATTTTCTTTTATTGTACTGCATTTCAAAGACAGAATTTTTTGATTTTCTTCATGTGTAAATATTCATTATAGGATAAAATTAGATTGCTGCTTTTCATGGGCGTGCACTTGCAGCATGTGCATGTGTGAGAGTGTTCAGAAGGCTCCTGTTAGAATAAATTATTTAGCGAAGAGTCTCCTTTACTTATCCACGGTCCACTGGCCTTGGTCACACAGAGCTCTCCTCCCCGCAACACCAGACTTCCCCAGTTCAACCACCCACCATCCACAACGTGACCCTGCCTCACCCTGCTATCCTATCCAAAAAATTACCCAGCATGTCACAGTCCCTTTGCAGATGTTGCTTTGGATCTCATCACCCAAACTGCTGCTTGTAAAAATGAAATGAAAAACAGACTAGAAGTTTCACTTTTGTGCATTCAGTCATAATAGTATATAATCATGTCTCTAAACTCAGGAAGGGCATCTGGGTTAAAACTAATTATACAAATGTAATTGTGCACAACAATTAGTTTCTCTGTTAATTCACTAATCCACCAACCAATACTACCCACAGTAATAACTTTAATGCGTATCAAGTTATGACTACACCCATTAACTTCATTTTTGGCAAGTACGTATTTGCAGTATTTATTTTTGTTAAGATTTATTCCCCTAGTTGTCATAATTTATCACAGTTTAGGACTAGCTTATGAGCACACAATTTCAGCAATCAAAATGTTGATTTTGTGACTCTCTTCTGGCACCAGACTGTCTGTAACTAACAGGATACTGCACACACATCTACATATTTAAACCTATCCTCCCTCCACTTCATAATCTGCCTGATCCGTACCACACAACATGCATTATTAGCATGCGCACACTTCCTGTCACTGCTTCCCTCTCTCACGTTTTCTAATTCTCACATCTCCAAGTGCAGCCGGGGATTATACATGATTGGTTCAATTCTTAGCAGTCTTGGGGCGGTCCAATTCAAAGCCCCAGTCTAACTTCAATCCCACTGGAGGGGCGATATAACATGTGGTTCTGTCATGGCGTCATGCATTTGGGATGTTATGTAAGTCTTTAGGCACCTATAGGCCATCCTTATTAATGCAAATCTTTATATTGATTCATAAGAGGTTGTTAATAAAGACTTAAGGAATGAATTAAATGTAATATGGAGATTTCTGCTGAGGTTTGTCCCATTATAGCTAGACTCAGACTGAGTTGTGACCTTTGCCAGAGGAAATTGGAAAAGAGGATAAGTCCCGAGAAATAGCATGCTTGAACCAAAATGCTGTGCTGCGCGATAGCTTTGGGGGATAAGTTAGTGCATTTGGAGTTCACATAGCAACATAACAATGAGTTGTGAACAGCAGGTGACAGAGAGTTTAATATAACTTTCCTATTGAGTTATGTATTTTTTTATATGTATATATGTGTATATATATATATATACACACACACACACACACACACACACACACATATATATATATATATATATAATTGTATTGTTTTAAATGTTTTAAATCTATGTGTTTTAAATAGAAAAACATACACATCATATTGAACAGTATCTTATTTATTTCTTTGTCTCAAATATTAGGATTAAAACAATAATCTGTATTTCATTCTATTGTTATTATTATCATCATCATTATAGATATTAATTATTAAAAGAAGCAAATACCAACACACTCCATTCATAGCATCTTTAATTTTAGAAACCATTTTCTTACAGCTGTATTCTACATTGTGCCAGTGATTGAGTTGTGCCTTTGTCTAACAGGAGAGTTGAAATATTGCACACATGTGAAACATTGTACGAGAGGAATGGACATCTTTTTCAACAGCCATGCAATACAGATTTTATACATATACACACACACACACACACACACACACACACACATATGAGTAAACACTATTTTGTGAATAAAATCTGTTCCTTAAAAACATTAAATTATGTTCCCGTAAAGTTGTGATGTCAAAGGTCAATACAATAGATTACCAGTGTTAGAAATTGTTTCATTAAGCATTAAGATTCACTAGTTCTTATCCAGCCCATGTGCAAACTGTAATAGAAAAGTGACTTATTCACTGTGGCAACCCTTAGACAAAGGGAGCAGTCATGATTTATCAGTGACTTTTTCTACTCAGACATTTAATACACTGTTTCTTATAAATGAGCCACTCCAATAATAGTGGCACTGTGTCAACACAACTATCAAAATTTGCATTGTCTGTAATACAATTTAAAGTGTTATTTAAGGGCACTATGTAACTTTTATGGTGAAGAGTCCATCACCTTATTACAGGTAAGAAGAAGTACTAGGCTAGAAGTCTAACGCAGGAGAAGTAATGCAGTAAATCTATATGACTGACATTCAGATTGTATTTACATTTAGCTGTGTGTCCCATCTTTTCATTTTTTTCAAAAATAAAAATCTTGGATGGCTCAAGTATTTGTCATATATGTAATTATACTATACAATGCCTGAAGCTGAGTGAATGTTTTTTCTTATACACAATGAGCTCACATAATGCAGTCAGTGACAGGTCATGACAGGGCAAATGGAGGACACACAGACATAGAAATGTACATGAAAGAGGCCACATGTCACGATCATTTCTAAAGCAAAAGGTGCAGGAGACAGGCAGACGCAAAATGGCATTGTGTGCACTATAATTGAGGGTAGAAGGGGAGAGGCTGCGGAGGGAAAAGTGGGTAAGTCGAGGGAAACAAGGGAAAAGCTGAGGGACAGACGATAGAGAGACTGAGTGGATGGTTCCCACAGTCATTGCAGGCTGGCTCACAAAGGAAGATATGAGATGACAAATACTGTGTTTTATTTGAGGAAACTGATGAGAGGCTGCAGAAAGAGTCCCAGAGTCCCCAGCACACACACTGTTACAAACACCCATAGGAAGATTCTGTCTATGACCATGGCTACGTACTTCCAGTCGTCCTCCACCTGTAGAGGAAGAAATAAAAAATAAAGAAATAAATTAGTATGTGGTAGAAAGTCAAGTATGTAAAACAACCTCAACATTTTTTTTATTTTATTTTTTCTAATGAGAGGTGTAGTATTGGAAATGGTGGGACAGACAGTTATAGTCATAATTGCACCTGTTTAATTAATGTTTGAAACGGACCTATGTCTAACCATCACAATTTGGACACTTTTCAACAATTATTGAAATACAGTAAATATTTTATTTGATTGGCACATACATGTGTGTTTTATGTCCATTCAAGCTGGCTTGGGGTTAAGTTAATGAGCTATATGCCAAGTTAAAATTCTTTATAGTAGTCTTTTAAAACATACATTAAATTAATCAAATCATAATCATAATCATGAACTTTGAACTCAATCTCATGCTCCATCCTCATCCTCCCCTCATGAACAAGACCCCGAGACACTTGAACTCCTCCACCTGAGGCAGGGACTCTCCACCCACCCACAGAAGCCAAGCCACCTTTTCCAGTCTAGAATCATGGTCTCGGATTTGGAGGAGTTGATCTTCATCCTAGCCGCTTCACACTTGGCTGCAAACTGCCCGAGTGTGTGCTGCAGGTCCTGGTTCGATGAAGCCATCAGGACAACATCATCTGCAAACAGCAGAGATGAGATCCTATGGTCCCCAAACCGGACCCCCTCCGGCCCCTGACACCACCTATAAATTCAGTCCATAAATACAATGAACTGAACCGGTGACAAAGGGCAGCCCTGGGGGGTTCTCACATGCACTGAGAACAGGTCTGACTTATTGCCGGCAATGCAAACACAGCTCCTGCTCCAGTCATACAGAGACTGCACAGCACTTAGAAAGGGCCTCAGACCCCTTCACCATTGGTGAAGAGGGAGCTGAGCAGAAAGGTGAAGCTCTCAATTTACAACTCAGTCTACGTTCCTACCCTCACCTATGGTCATCAGCTTTGGGTAATGACCGAAAGGACAAGCTCGCAGATACAAGAGGTCGAAATGAGTTTCCGCTGCAGGGTGGCTGGGTGTTCCCTTAGAAATAGGGTGAGGAGCTCAGTCACATGGGAGGAGACATGGTGACCATGTCTCACCAAAACGAGGCCCCAGTGAAGACCCAGGACACATTGGCCAGGACTGGCCCAGGAACGCCTCGGGGTCTCCACAGCGGAGCTGGAGGAAGTCTGGGAGTCCTTAGACTGCTGCCCCTGCGACCTGGCCCCAGCCAGATAAGTGGAAGAAAATAGATGGATGAATGGATGGACTCTGAATACCACCACAAGAAGCCGCATGTCTCCATGTCTCTAAGGCACATTATTTTTCACCCTGTAATTTATAAACCTCTACAAACATGTTCTGAAATTTATGGGATTCTTGTATTAGTTTGGCTATTCAGACTCTTCTGTCAGATGTTACAGAAAACTTTTGTGTGTGTGTGTTTCTTCATTCACATATTAGAGTATCTCAAAATCTTAAAATGCTTTGAAGTTATGCAAATGATTCTACTGAAGGTGTGTGGAGTTTAAAAACGCAGTGGAGCATTTCCTGTATTACCACATGACAAGGTCTAAATTTCAAATTCATGAATATTATGACACTGTTTGTTTTTTTTGTTTGTTTGTTTTTGTTTGTTTGTTTGTTTGTTTTTTCTATGCTTTATTTATGTGCAGAATAGTGAGGGGGGGTTGCGAGAGAGTCTAGGTGCACAGAACCCTCCTATACCACTTCCTCTTTCTTTTCAGATACTTCTCCAGTGCTGTGTTGATCTCCTCCATGCACTCCTTCTGAGCGTTTGCTCCAATGCACTGCAACTCTCGACCTGTAGGCAGCACTCCATTTTCAACTCCTCACAAGTCTTCAAAATAATAGCATTCTCCTCCTCTAGATTAATTTTGATTCGATTCTCTTGCTCCAATTGCTGCTGTAAATCATTGTTCTTTTCAGCATGCAGGGAGCCCTATTCTTCTGACCTTTTCAGTAGCTGCTCCAGTGTGCTGGAGCGCTCTACCTTTAGGTCTTCACAGGTCCTCAACATGGCTGCCTAGTCCTTCTGTAGTTCCATTTTGTCATGTTTCCCCATGGATCTATTAAAATAATTAATAATTCCCCTGCTCCACCTCCTGCTGTGGCTCACTGCTCCTTTTGACCAGCAGGGAGAGCGCTTCCTCTGACCTCTTCAGTAGCCGCTCTAGTGTACTACATTTCACAACCTGCAGGGAGTGCTCTACCTCTAGTTCCTCACAGGTCCTCAACATGGCAGATTTGTCTTACTGTAGCTCTGCTCTATCATGTTTCTACTGCTCATCCTCCGTCTGTAGAGCACTGTTCTCTTTGACCAGGGAGCGCTTATCCTGTGTTCTTTTCAGCTTCTGCTCCAGTGAACTACATCCAGCAAGGAGTGCTCTACCTTCAGGTTTTCACAGATCCTCAACATGGCAGTCTTTTCTTTCAGTTCTGCTCTGTCAAGTTCTTTCTGCTCCACCTCCTGTTTCCATTGTTCTTAATGACCAGAAAGGACTTCTCTTCCTGTGATATCTTCAGTAGCTTCTCTAATGTACAGCATTTCTCCTCCAGCAGGGAGCGCTCTACATTCAGCACCTCACAGGCACTCAAAATGGTGGTGTTGTCCTTCCGTAGTTCAGCTCTCCCATGTTTCTTCTGTTTCACCTCATTCACCAGAGCACTGTTCCTTTTGACCAGTTGTCCTTCCAACTTCTTTAACAGGTGCTTTAGCACACTGTATTTCTTTTCCAATATGGAGTGTTCTCTCTCGGACCTTCTCAGTTGTAAAAAATGGCATTCTTCTCCTCCTCCATCTTTTCGAACTGTGTCTCTTGCATTTTCTGGAGCATCTGTGCATGCCAGTGCATGCTCCAGTTGAGAGTTCTGCTTCATCAGTGTTGTATTCTCTGAAGCTTTTTCCTGCAGTTTGGATTTCACATCAGCAGTGTCCTTCTGGAGTCTCTGCTTTTCTTTCTCCCACTCTTTGGATTTTGAAAATCTTCTCGAATTTTCTTCAACATTTGCTTCATACTTCAATATTGCTCTTCTTTCAATTGAAGCTGGTGTTGGTGTATCAGTGCTCCACTCTCCTCTTTCATGGTGTCCAGTTCAATTTGAAATTCTTGGACTCTTCTGTCCTTTCTCTCTATCTGAGTGTTATGAGCTACAATAATCAGCTTCATTCTCCTTAATAACTTTAACTTCTCCTCCTCAAGCTGGTCACAGTCTCTTTCTTGAAGCTTCTTGAGGTTTTACAGTTCTTTAGGCAGATATTCCTCTCTGGCTCTGGCCTGATCAGATTTAAAGGCAGTTTTGAGTCGTCACATGACCAAGGCCATGCCTTTCTCGTTTTCCTTCTTAGACCTCCGTTGGTTATGAGATCCTAACTCCCTTTCCATCTCCTCCAGAGTTAGAAAGGTGTGGACCACCTGTTCAGAACGTCCAGAGGTCTGGTCTGGATTGCTGGGTGCTGTCCAAAGCTCCTCCATCAGGTTGAATTCCTGACTGTAGAGGCATCCATCCTCTTCAGAAGTATATAATATCAGTCTTTGGACATGTTTGTTTCTCTGAGTTCAGTCTCTGTTGCTCGGTCAATTGCTGAATTGGAATGAGGTTGTACAGGGCCTGTGCAACTCACATGGATATATGGTCACAGATGTGCTATATGGTAAAGTATGAATTTCAACATATCACTGATTTATTTATATTGTTTATTAAAGTAATCCACCAATAAAATCTATTATTCCTAAATAGTAGATTATATTCTTTATGTAAGACTCCTACTCAAACATTTCATACCAAATACCACCTTGTTAAATATTTGGCTTCTCAAGTAACACAAGGACTCATCTCAACAAAAACTGGTAGAAAATAAGCCTAAAAAAATCTGGACTAAATCAGGCCTAAACTGGCTATAAACGAGATCTAAACCCACAAAGGCTATTGAATATATTTTAGGATGCACTTTAATACAAAATCATTGGTATCTAACTAGTATCAACATACTTACTATAATATATCAAAACAAAAATAATTTCTATCACTAATATAATAAATAGTAGTTACTTTTGTTTTCTACTCTGAACAACTTTAAACATCTGACTTCTATGATATTCTAATTTTTGATATTTTGCCAGTATGAGAGGTGACCTTTACTTGATGCTAACTGTGGAAATTATTTAGCATTGCCCCAAACCATCGCATGTAGTCTTTGTCACAGAGCTAATAAAGGAGAACATGCTGTTTTTTATAGCTTCATCTGAGAATACATGTGAACGCAAACTGTATTTGGACTTGGCGTGATGTGGTCAGGTGTGGACAATTGGATCATGGCTGCAGTGACCATAATGCTCTTGTGTACCTATAGAAAAGTGAGGAAGCTCTTATATGGTGTGCATCTCAAGGCACAGATGTGAGCCTAGCTAAGAAAAGACAGCACTAAAGTAACAAACATATCAGCAGCATCCAGAGTGTGAAAGATGCGAACACAAAGCACACACCGTCTGCAACCACCAAGCAGCTTTATGCTCCTTTTATAGCTGCATGGAGAGGGCTGTACAGACAGCAGGTTTACAGTGAGAACAGTGGGAGTGTGTGGATGCTAAATACATCTAAATAGTCTTTCCTCCAATAATAACAAACCATATATGACCAGTAATGTATAGAAATCATGTGCAAGAAAAATGCATTATTTTACTTTGAATTTCTATTAATTTACCTGATATAGGTTAAGCATAAAAAGTAGATAAACCTTGTTAATTTTATGTATTCTGGAAATTAACTGTGTAATATGATTTTTAGTATGCCAACTCCTTCAGGCTGTTAAAGACAAACAGATTTTGGCCAAGTTATGGTAGAGGTAAAGAGTATTAGAGTATTAGTTTTTGATGGATGATCCAAAACATCTCCATAGTGAAAATCAGGGGATGCCACTAGTATTTCTTTAGTATTTTTATGAATAAATAAAATATCTGCAACTGGGGGAAAATGTTATATGTTTAATTTAAAGGAATACAGTGGAATATTCCAGGCAATGCAATACAATTTCCATGAGGCATGCAGGTGGAGGACACTCTACCAGAAAATTCATAATGTGTACCTTTAAAACATGAGCCAAATATGAAATGCTGCTTGTATATTCTCACCTCTTTGGCTTTGTTGCGAGTTCGCATGTTCTCTGCAATGTACTTGACGCTCTCTATGGCCTGCTTGATTTCGGGCGATACCACAGATACAGCCACCACTGCGTTGACTGGCGACGGTGAGTTCAGGGGTCTAGGTATCTTGGGGGACTTCGGAGGCTCTGGCAGGGGCAGACTCTGGGTGCCCTGGAACGGTAGAGATGAGGGGAGAGGAGGAGGTGGGGGTGGAGGTGGAGGAGGCGGCGGTGGGGGGACCATTGGAGGAGGGACAGGAGTTGGGACTTCTTTTCCTCGATTGTAGGGGTATCTTCTGGTCACATCGCGGTTCAATGATAACTCTCTATTGTGCTCACGGTTTAAGTCCCGATTTTTATCACGGTTCATTTCACCGTACTCCACACAGTTCATAGCACTACCTGTTGACGTACCCCCGCCAGTGCCACCATCTAGAGCCGCACATGCTACTCCACCAGTAATACCTCCGATGCTAACGCTTCCGGAGCCGCTTCCCGATCCTATGCTGTTCTTTCTCTTCTTGTTGCCCAGACGATTCAAACCAGCAATCCCTCCAACCGTGCCAGTGCCGATGCTCGTGGAGGTGGGACAGCCTTGGTCTATGGGCCTCCTCATCAACATGACCCTTGGGAGCACCCCTAAGAAGACAGCCCTTACCCAGTCCGGCATGGTATGAGTCATAGGAGTGCGGTAGTGGACATTTAGTACGAAAACGGTGATGACGATACTTAGAGTTACAAAGATCATGGTGAATAGAAGGTACTCTCCAATCAGAGGGATGACTAGCGATGTGGATGGGATAGTTTCAGTGATAACGAGCAGGAACACAGTGAGGGAGAGTAGCACTGAAATACACAGAGTAACCTTCTCTCCGCAGTCCGATGGCAGGTAGAAGACCAGGACTGTGAGGAAGGAGATCAGGAGGCAGGGGATGATCAGGTTGATGGTGTAGAAGAGCGGCAGGCGGCGGATGTAGAAGGAGTAGGTGATGTCGGGGTAGATCTCCTCACAGCAGTTGTACTTGATGTCATGTTTGTATCCAGGAGCGTCAATGATCTCCCACTCACCACTTTCCCAGAAGTCCTTGAGGTTTACCTAAAGGGGTAATAACCAAGAGCATTTTAAAGCTATCCAGACATGCTCAAAATAGAAAAATACATTATATGAATAGGTTCAACCAGTACTTTCCAACCAGGTGGTTGGGTTACTAAATTCTATTCTAAAAGTAACAACTGAGAGTATACAGTGGTAAACACATTATTAGAGAGTATTTGGAATGTTAGAAAAACCTTAGAGGGTACTCAGTCTAAACAAAATGGTTGGGAACCACTGGATTGGTTCCCAGATTTTTAAGAAGATTTTATCCATCAATCTAATGAATTGATTCACTGTGGAAAAATTTACATCATTAACCTTTGAGCCAATGAGAACTAGGTCAATCTTGGCCTTGTCATACGTCCAGGAGCCAAACTTCATGGAGCAGTTCTGATAATCAAAGGGGAAGTACGTGATGTCCATGGGGCAGGAGGATTTAAAAATAGCTGGAGGGATCCATGTGATTGTGCCATCAAACTTGAGCAGAGCCTTGGTCTTGTCCTCTACCAGGAAATCACCCACAGCACTGTATTAACGAGAGACCAATGTTACAATGTTAAAGAAATTACATAATCAAATATTGATTTTAAAAGTACATAACGGTCAGCATACTTATTATACAGCACAATATCTGGCCTCCAAATCTTGTTTGATGGGACACGTATGAATTCAATCCCTTCATATTCAACAGGAGACCATCTCAGCTTGTAGTCATTCCACACCTGAAATACAAAATATAAAAGAAATATATCATCATTAGTATGAGCAATTACAAATGTCTAGCACACTCACATGTCTAAGCCAGAGATTGGTCTCCATTATTTGATTAACTTCATCCTGCAAAATAACAATAATAATAATAATAATAAACCATTAAAAGATATCTTTGCACATTATAGGCTGTTGTTTTTTATACTTATATTTTTATACTTACCACTTTGACCAACTGAGATATGGAGACCTCAAACTCCACTGTGACCGGATCAGATACATTCTCCACTGGTCGGATGAATTGATTATAACGCCTGAACAGACGCCGAAAAAGTCTGTCCTCTGCTTTAGATGAACAACAATCTAAAAACACAAAAATAAACATATTTAGTATTTGTATAGACTAAAATATAATGTAGTAAAAAGCAAATGTTGGTGAAGACTAGTCAGTTGCTGGGAGAGGGTGCACTTGAGAGCATGTATAAAGGTCATGTTAAAGCCCCTAGTGACACTGAGAGCCACGCCTGTCCAAGCAGAAAATCAAGCCTCTCTGGGGACTACACTGTGGTACCAACAGGACCTTAGGCACACAATGCAAGTAGACTGATTGGGTTTAAGTCCTACAAAACATTTTATATTTGATATCTCTCCTTTATGGTAAAAGCACACAATAAGAACAATAGATAGAGGATGGAATCATGGTCAAATCAGTGTTTTACTCATTTTAATCAGGATTTAATCCAGACCTTCCCAGCAAAAACATGTCATAGCACTTGTTCTAAATGTTTGCTAGAAACATACAGTTCACTTTATAATCTAAACTCTAATTTGAATTGGGAAAAATAAGCATCTTACATGTGGATACAGCAGAGAGCTGCATATACAGTATTATTATGTATTTATGAACAAATGTTCTATGCACACTTTCTGCTGTTATTGCCTGTGGGAGTACACTTGGGTAAATATATTGCAGACATCCAGATAACATTGTGTCTCATTTTATACACAGGAAAAGTTTGATTCCTTTTCTACATATTTGAGGCATATTTGGAAAGCCTAAGGACAAAAGTGTCAAAATCAGTGATATGAGCAAGTGTTTATTACAACTATTTTAAAAGGCACAAGGGACCACAGTAGCTCAAAGGCAGTACTTACATAATTATGCCATCTGCACACACAAGTGACCAAACACAAAAGCACATTTTGGACACTAACAGAACTGAAATGACTGTAGTGATGCTGTAGGCCATTTAGAAGTTAATCTAAAAACAGTACAGTTTTCAGAGGTCAGGAATTAAGTTGTGAAGATTAATAAAAAAGCTTGCCTCCTGGAGAGATTGGCAGTTCCAGCTCCTACCTTTAAAACTGCAGAGCACTCCCTGATCTGCAACTCTGACGCAGTCTGAAACTTGCTTAAGTCCTAATTGGGTGAGGGGAAGTGAGGCTAATTATAATCAGTCAATTAACTGGACCTCTTGTTCACATGGGACAAAAACCTTAAGCCAATATTTTCTGTCTCTGTAGGCCACTCACAGCTAATGCCAAGTCTATGTTCAGACTCCCCGCATTGTAAGTGGTCACAATTTATGGTAGGTTAATTATAACCTTTAGCCTTTGACTGTACATTAAATCAAACTTAGCACAAGAAACTATTGGTTGCGTTACACAGCAATGTGTTGGGAGTTGCATAATAAAGTCTTTGCTGCTGCTTCTTCCTTTGGGGCATTGTTTCCTGTGGTTTCTGTTTAATATTCTTTTTTTAATCTGCTCATATAAAAAAAATATTTAAATACCTTCTATAATGCATTAACCCATGGTTAACATATATCAGTGAATGTACATGAGCTCAGACAAAAGCTTAGTTTATGGAGAAAATCCAGTTTACTGACTTTGAGAAGTAACAACAATTTCCTTCTTCTGGGAGTGCAAACTACATTTTGACCTTTTGAATCCACCTTTCATTTAAACACAGCATGACAGCTGACCAACAGGGTGGGGATTTTACTGAGCATTTAACAGAGAGAATCACCAAATCTCATAATGACAATATTACTCAACCTGCTCAGCCCGACCCATTTCAATAATGCACCATTATCCCAATAGTTTTAGGGTTAACTTGCTGACTATCAAACCAAAGCAGGTCAAAACTTCTACTATAATTATAATAACTGCCTTGGCTCAAACTACAGTTACCAATGGCTAAAGACAGAATTTCCTTTCAGCCTTGAAAACTGTGAGTCTGTATTTGACAATTGCATAAGGCACATGCTGTTTTCATCATCTCCACTGATGTGACAACTCTTTCTTCTTACAGAGCTGAAGCCAAGTCAAGCATCTCACCCTGAAGTGGACACATTGATTAAGAACTCAAATCAAATCAAACTTTTCGTCAACTGGTGCTTTAGCCTACAGAGAAATCCCTTTGGTCCAGGAGGGCTGTTGGATTGGCCAAGAGCCTAGAAGTGACCAGTGAGGGAGTTAATTGCAGTACCATAATACAAAGCTGACAGTGTGCAGTCAGCTAGTGGAGAGGAAAAGATATGAAATTCAGACTGAAAAGACAGCAGGGTGCACAGATATGATGTTGAGAACAAGCAGAGAAAAGCTAGATAGCGTGTGTGCGCTCTCCAGGGTTTTTGATGGCCTGACTGTGACACACTGAATGACGCACAGAGGATCTGCCATGATTACTGCCTGCACTGTGACCATCCTGTTAAGATTAGGATGTAGTTTCTTATAATGTGTGTGTGTGTGTGTGTGTGCATGTACATGTGTGTGCATTTAAAAAAGAGTTTTAACTAGATGTGTCTTCTCGTTCCTATATTTATACATGCACATTCACATATGATTTTTCAACGATGCATGAAATCCCAGAGTCTTCTTCGTGTCTCTGCAAGTTCATTGAAGCTAGCATAAAGTTGCCACTGCATTGTATAGAAATAGACATTGTGCACACTGCTCAATGTGAAGATGTTGACAGTTTGGGTCATTATCACTTATACATAGAATGTATAGAGCCATCTGACATAAAATATCAGTATTTTTCACAGAATCTTTTTTCAGTTTCATTATATGGTAAGGAGAGCATTCAAATATATTCAGTAATGCAATGTAAGAATACTTTGGAACAATATCATGCACCAACATGCATCATTATTCTATCTTAGCTGAACTAAAAGTTAGCAAATAAAATATTAAGGATCTGAATTAACTTTAGTCAAAAATCAAATTAAACATGTGTATCATAAAGGACATATCATTAGATTACAATTCTGAAATGCACAATCCATATGTGACAAAGTGGGTGGGGGTCTCATTAGGTTATGTCACCTGGGGGGGGTTCTTCTTGCTGGGTGGAGTATAAAGGCAAGTATGTGTCACCAGTTAGGGGAGAGACTTCTTTGCAGGTTGTTTGGGGTTTTTCGATTTGCGTTACTTATTTTCTGTATATTTGTACTTTTGTTGGTGTTAACTAAAGAAGTCTGTTTTAAAACAAATGTTGTCTGGTTAAGGACACTTTTTTAATGCATCTGCCTCCTACTTTGACCACTTTGGCAGCTTCCCCACATTTGGTGGCAGCGAGTGGTGGGATTCAGGCCAGTGAGAGGCAGTGAAGAAGTATGCAGACCAAACAAAACAAGGTTTGTGCTGCTGGAGTGACTGATCCACCTGTCGGCCAACAGGGTTCACTCAGCATAGAACCAGCTGTTATAAACTTGGGACAATTAAGAGGTCTACATCACCTCAAAAGGCAGAGGAGGATCCAGGATGTTTCTCAACTCCAGGTGGTGGTACACCAAAGTCAGGTGGAGTTCACAGAGGTGACCCCTGAAGTGAGGATGGCATCTTGTGCGAAGGTCCACCATAGGAGGATGGAGCTGCTTGGGGCTACATGGATACTGGAGGAGTCGTGGAGCGGTACGGCTAACGGCTGCCTTGTGTTCATCTGGCTGCCAGGAGCTGCCATCAGGAGCTGTGGAGTGCTTGGTGCTCAACTGTAGCTGTGTGCAGTTGGAGCAATCGGAGAAAGTTTGAAGGAGCTTTGGTCAGTGTTGGAGTTCCAGAAACCCGCTGTGGGCAAGGTACTAGCTCGAGGTGTGGCAGTACTGGTGATGGTCTGCTGGTGAAACTGGGAGCCATGTGGAACTGAACTGAAAGAGTGTTTTGTATGTTTAAATTATTGTTACCTGGATTGTAAAATAATGGACTTTCTGTCCCGTGACTCTTTGAGTAAAGGTTTTAAGAGGGATGTGTGTGACAAAGTGGGCGTTTGTCTCATTTTAAATTCACCTTAGTTTATGTTAAACATTTTGATCTTGAAAGGAGACATCTTGGCTTTGGAAAGTGACCTGGAACCAATACTCTTCTTCCTGCTGGGCAGAGTATAAAGGCAAGCAGGTGTCATGAGTTTGGGGAGAGACTTCTGTGCAGGTTGTTTGGGTTTTTTGGATTTGCGTTACTTATTTTCTGTATATTTGTACTTTTGTTGGTGTTAACTAAAGAAGTCTGTTTTAAAACAAATGTTGTCTGGTTAAGGACACTTTTTTTGTTGCATCTGCCTCCTACTTTTACCACTTTGGCCAGCTTCCCCACACCATGCTTTTATACCAGTATAAAAGCCTTGATGGTAGCCTGGCACAGTGAGCAGACTAGTCGTGCTTGTGTGGCAGGAGTTTCCACAGTTTGAGTCCTGGAGCGAGACGAGTGTTTTCACACAGCTCCAGTCACAGCTGCAGATATTTCAGTGATCAGTGCTAATGTTGACCCCTGCGGAGAGAAGCACCAAGCTTTAAGCAAGTCTATACCAGTGTACAGTTAGCAATCAAAGGTAGCCTACGGTAGTCATATATAATATACAGGGTCCGGTTTTTGTTTATCTTAATCATGAAGTTATTACACAGGTGTTTTGTTTGTGAGGCAAATGTAATCAAGTTGGAAACCATTTATGTGAAAGTTCTTCAAAGTCCGCAACACAAAAATGAGCTGAACAATCAACACCTTATGTGACTAGAAGGTACAAAGCAAACCGTGCTGGTGTTCCACCTGCAGCCTCCATAATCATAATGGTGTGTGATTGATTGGTTAATACGAATTTTCTGTGTTAGTTCCTGATACAGCACTGCAGTTGGGGATCACAGTTTTGCCTCAAACTGTAACAATATCATGCATTCAGCTGGTAAATGACACAACCAGTACACCGGTTTCAAGCTGCCACAGTCATCTCGACATGGCTAATTGGAAAATGCTAATTGCTCCATTATGGCTGATTCGTTTAGCCTGGGACTCCATCTTGAGCATGTTACCATATTACATACAAACCCCAAGTGCTTTTATGATGTTTGTTACTAGCAAAGTTGAATACTGTTGTTATGGCTATGTGTAAGATGAGTTCCACTGATTGCTCAAATCAATCATATTTATCTATCATGCATTTGTTCAATATTAGCATTAAAATGCATTGAAAAATGTGTATTCTTTCTGTGTGTTGAGATGCTTTTCCACAGACCTGACCTGTAACTTCACCTGCTTATCTTCATAAAGGTTGTCAAAGTTAACATTTTACACAAGACACCTTCATGGAGACAAGCAGTTAGCAGACCCAACACTAGAAAAAGTTATACAGTGTACATTTAACTATACTTTGTCAGTTGACAGCCCTGACATTACAATAAATATAAACCTCCACATTTTTAAAGCTGCCTAAAGGGAAGGGTATTTCACATTCCATAAGATTTTATTGATGTAGATGATCTTATAACCAGAAGCCTTGTACACACAATAACCTCTTTAACCTGGAAATTGATCCGGATGCTCCAAGGACATTTATTTCAAAAGTTCAATAAAAAAAATAAAAATCACAAGCAACCTGAACATGAAGTAGAAAAAGTGGACAATACATTTTTTATATTTTAAACTGGACTTTTTATCCAATCTATGTGAGCCTCTGGTGAATTGTGTGCACTTTGGGAGGGAGAGTTGCAATAATCATATGACAATCGCATTAAGGACATCCTGCAGCAGTCCCTAAGCCACACAAGCCCAAGCAGAGAGACGCATTAACACACACTTGTGCCTGTCAGACTTGAACTGTATCGCCTTTGGGAGGGAAACCAACTGTACTGGAGCATTTGTGGTTGGCACGGAGACGAACGTGCCTTATGAAGTTGTGATCTAAAGAGACAACACACACAAGCCCACTTAGATCAAAAGCACTGCAGAATTTAACATGAAGAAATGGAAAAAGATGTCT